TATAAATTATATAAATTATATAAATTATATAAATTATATAAATTATATAAATTATATAAATTATATAAATTATATAAATTATATAATTTATATAACATTATATAAATTATATAATTTATATAACATTATTCTTTTTTAAAAAACATTTTCCTTATGTATCTTTATACAGTACATACGGTTATATAATGACACAAATGCCTGGAGCCTGTTTTTATATATCACCATTAAAGCATTAACATTTTATTTTAAAGTTATAAATCGGTTAAATTATTTAGAGTTAATGTATAAAATTTTATCAATGCATATTGTATAACATAAATAACGACATATACAATGATACATATTAACAGTAATATATTAGTAATATATAGTAATATATGTAACGTTAATACAGGATGACATGAAAATTTTGATTAAAAATAAATTTCAGTATTGTTGGTTTGCTGCATTGATTAAAATGAAGCATTAATAACCAGGTACGTATGTACCAGTAAAAGAGATCAAGCAATAGCAAATACATTATTTTTAAGTTAAATCTGGACCCTCTAGGCACTGCAGAGTTGTAAGACAAATTAAAGCTAGTGCCAATGTAAGGATACCATAATAGCTTTAACATACGTTATGAACTGATTGTCTTTTCCACAATAGTTATTGTTAAACATAATAAGTGAAACAAGAAATTAAGCACTGCAGATTTATTTTAAAATTTTGATCGTCTTTTAAAAGAAATCAAATAAAAGCACAAATATAAAGAAAACAAAATATAGATTTCGTGTAAAAAAAGTGCGTGCGTACGTACGTGCGTATGTATGTGCTATGTATGTAATCGTTATCTGGTATAAATATAAGAAATGAACATGTGAGCGGGTATTTTCACGGTGACTAGTGCAGCAAAACGCGTCATATGCACGAAAAAAAATGAATTAATGATTGAATCCATAGAATAGATATTATATCCATAAAATAAATATAATAGGTAAATAAAAGATCATGTGGTAAATAATTTGACAATGCTGAAATGCAGAAATTCTGAAATTGAGGAAAGAATCATCCAGGGCGACCATAAAAAGTGCAGTAACGTGACCTGTAGTGCAGCCAAACCAAAACTGCGCACAACTTTATATACAACTACAGCTATTCACAAGAAAAAAATATTCGCGATATAACTTTACCACGAACAGGCCTAATTTCTTTTTTACTTAATTTCCGGTCAAATTAGAATTTTGAAAATCATCGGCCTAAGCTAGATTAATGCAGGCCAAATGTCATGATCACGTTACTGCACTTTTTATGGTCGCCCTGGATGATTCTTGAGGAAAAACCCGTACGTATGTAATTTTTTAATAATAATAATAACATTTTTTTTTTTTACTGTCACACATTCTTCGCCTCATAACTTTATAAAAATTTGTAAATTAGGCGTTTTTTTTGGTGAAACTGTTTATGCTTATGACACTATGTATCACATTTATTTTTTTGATAGATCTATCATTATTGAAAATGTATTCATACTACTACTGTACTAAATACTATACTGCTATACTGCTATATTGCTATACTGTTATATATACACTTTTAAAATACATGATATATTATATTACTATTGTATATATCAACATTTTTGGGAATTTGAAATAGTTATTAAATTTTTTTTTTTTTTTTTTTTTTTTTTTTTTTAACATATATTATATTTTTGCGTTTCAAACGCCATGTTATTATATTTTTGAAGATATCAAATTTTTTTTCCAAATATTCTAACACATTGAAAGGTAGAGTTTTTAAATTTATCCAGCTCATAATTCAATGAATTCATCATTTCATCAAATTCTTGAGGTGATTGCCCTAAATAATTAGATAATGGTTCGTGATATGATTCTATTGTGAATGAAAAGTAATTATGAAACTATAAAAAAAAAAAAAAAAAAAAAAATTAATTATTACGTGGTAGATTATATACACTTATAAAAACTTATAAAATATTTAAAATATTATATAAAAACTTATATAAAAACTTATAAAATATTTAAAATATTAATGATAACAAAAAATTTAAAGTAAAACCTACCATCTCTCCTACTTTCCCAGAAGATTTTCCGATCGGTATTTTGCGCACTTGTTTTTCTAACGAAGCGAATTCTTTCGTATCTTTCATCAAACTTTCCAAATCCTTTAATATATCGGTTTTAATACTATTCGATTCCAAGAATGCATGACCTGCATATTAAAAAAATTTATACGTATATCTATTTAAAAAACATTCAATATTTTATTATCAAATATTTTTCTTTATATAAAAAAAATATACGTACGAGCATCGCATACTTTCTTCATAATCGGACCTGAATCTTCACATTCACACCCTCCAACCACTATTTCAACAGTTCCTTGAGGTTTTGTTACCCTGACCATTTCAGTAATTACTATTTTCCATTGATCTTCAGTAAAATTTGGATCCAAACATCTCATATGAACATAATCAAAAGAATCTTTTCCATAAGATAATTTATTAACTATGTCCATTGGTATAATAACAGTATTATTATGTGGAAGGTCAACTTTATTACATGGTGGTGCTTGGATTCCCGTAAAATGAGAGGTTTGAAATTCATTTGACATATCGCGAATCCAATGTCCTCGTCCACATCTATAATATATTAATAATAAAAATTAATATCTTTTTTATCAAAACCGGATACTGAATTATATAATCAGCTATTACTGAAGCCGTGATAGGATATTTGAGATGACCCGTCCGTTACATTAAACCGGTTTGTTTAAAACATGACCCGGTTAAAAATTATTTCGGGACGGTATCCATCAGAAGGTTGGATCTCTATACGTATACAGTAATACAGTAATACAGTAAATATAAAAAAAAATATAAAAAAAAAAAACATACGCAACATCTAAAACATCAATTTGTAATTCTTTTTTGATAACGCAACAAAAATTTTCTTTCCAAACATCTTTTAATATTTGATGTTCTATCTCAAAGAGATCAATAGAATTTTCATTGTATACAACGTCATAAGATTCTTGAGTATTTGATCTTTTTAATTCTTTTACATTGGATATTTTAGGTTTATTTTTTTTATGGTCATGTAACATCGACGTTGTGGATTTTGTGGATTGAAATGAATCAAGTGGATTAAACAATTGTTTTGTAGATGATGCTTTTCTAGCAATGCTTTTAGAATTACAAAGTCCCATTTTTTTTTTTTTTTTTTTTTAATGAATGAAATATGATTGTTCGTAAATACAGTGTTTTAAAAAAAAAAAAAAAAGGATTGAATGAATGTAATAATGGATTGCAAATAATGGAGTGCAAATAATGAGTGTTAATTATGCAAGTTTAATATTGCAAAAAAAAAAAAAAAAAAAAGTAAGTGTAGGAAGTCAAGAAAAGTAAAAAAATTTCTTAAGACAGAAAATTTGCTTATTTTTTATGGAGAATAAAAAAAAAACAAGTCTTTATATTTAAAACCAATAAATGATTTTCACGATTGTCTGTTTTGGTGATTTTTAAACAACGGTTACAAAAAACTTTTTACTAGTAATAATGTTGATCAAAAATCGGTATAAAGGACATTCGTACGTACTTAGAAATTCCTATTTGACTACCGTTTTTTTTTTGTGAATCGTGATACGTACATATCATATGTAAGATTTATTAAGATTTATACTGTATAAGTTATAATAATTAAGCATATAATAATTAAGTATATAATAATTAAGTATATAGATATATAATTAAGTATATAGATATATAATTAAGTATATAGATATATAATTAAGTATATATATATATAGACGTATAACAGATAAGTACGTAATCATGTATGTTAATTATTTTTGCTTTTTTGAAAATCGCGTAACAAAAATGCCATATGCAATGGAGATCCGTTAATATTGTACTAACGCTAACGCTAACGCTATAGCTTCCATTCAAATTTTGATTAAAATTTACAAGAAGTATATGTCCAGACTGTTCCGGAAAAGTTTTAATAGTTTTATCTTGACATCAATACTTGTAACTTTTTTTAAGAAATTTTCAAAAGATTACTAATACGTAGTGTGTAGTATTCTACGTATGCATTCATCCTGTTCATTTATTATTTTAGCTAGTACAATAGCATTCATTAGGATAAGTTGATGTCCATTTATTATTATTAAATATGAAAATGGTTCATATGTTTCCGGCTGACTCCGATATTCAAAATATTTACGCCATGTTTCCATGTTTACAAGATCCCATCATTACGTATGTTGATGTGTATGTTGATGTGTATGTTGATGTGTACGAATGGCTCAAGTCGGACAGTTTTAAATTTTATTTATTTTTTGATTATGTTAATTGGTGTTTTTTTTAAGGAGTTCTACTGTACGCTTAAATATGGCCTTAAATTTTTATATTATCTATTATCTATCACTATTAAAAACCATAAAAACATTGACTAAACCTGGAAATCTGGATTAAAAATTATCTTTCATCTTTGATATTTTAGGTATATAAAAACAGCGCCTCGCCTTGTCAATATCAATGACTACCAGATTTGTGAATATAAAGGTAAATATTATGACACAAAACGACATTAACCATTTTAAACTTACTAAGAATCTATATTTTTTCAAATAAAACTCTGACATTAAAGGGTCACTTCATTCGTTTTTTCATTCGTTTTTTCGTTGTTCGTTATGATTTCCATTTTTGGTTTAGAATGATACCCTATTTTCGGCGTACTTTCCTATTTGGTGTTTCTTAGAATACTAATCATTAAACTTTAAATTCCTGTTTTTTCTATTGAATAATATCAACTTTTCTTTCTACATTACATACGTACGTATCTCTTTTGCCTTCGAGCTACAATAAAATTAATAATTTTTTTTGCAATAATTATTTATTTATTTATTTATTTATCTATCAATATTATCAAATATTTTTTAAAAAAAAAATTTCTCAGACATCGATATGTATAAAAAATTTTCCTCGGATATTTCAGATATCGGATATGAAAAACGTTTCTCGGATATGGTTAGTTTTTATCAGCTGACCTGACTTTCTGTAGTTAATCTTGTGAAAAAGAAAAATGATAAACATAAATTATATATTATATACGTATAATATGTATATAATATATATATATAGTATACCAGTATGTATAATTAAAATTATACACATATATATATATATATAATTAATAATGTATATATATCATTGATTTACCAGTCAATCTTGCCCAGACCTTATTCCGAAAATTTGCTTTATCATGTAATTAATTTACAGCATACCATATTTCGTTAGTCAAATAAAATCATGTGATTACATACTTATCATTCTATATGCATTATATATATATATATATATATAAATAATATTTTAAAAAAATTTTTATTCATATTATTTGTCACGTTGCAGAGTGGAAACCTTAATAGGGGATTTACTAATCGTTGAGCCCATGCTAGATTAGCCTAGATTAGCGTTAGAGTCACATATCGGTTCATTTGATTCACGCATTGATTTTTAATAAAATCTCATTAATTATCGTTATATAATCGAATGTGCAGGTTTGAATCTAGTATATCCGGTTTGTTCGTTCTTTTACTCATCTATTCAATTCTATTCAATTCGCGGCAATTCCGATAAATAATTTTTTATGTGCATTTGTGTAATCATTAGTCAAATGATGATCAATTCCCTGCGCTCACGCTAAAGCTGTGCATATTTTTCGTGTATCCCATATGAGTAACGGCAAGGGAAAACCTGTAAATCTTGAATTTTAATTTTTTTTTTAATAAAATATATCTATTTTAAAAATTAACTTTAATATTTAATATATTAATACTGTCTCGTTAAGATGCTTCAAATAATATTAAAATATAAGTGTTAGTTATTTGACTTTAAATAAATTTATAATTTATCACCATAGCAATATGTCGCGTCCTATATGCTGGGCTTCAAATTGTGCTTACAAATCAAATCATTAGTGTTAATGATTTGTAAGCACAATTTGAAACTTAGCATATAGGATGTGACATATCGCTATGGTGATAAATTATAAAATCCGAGTCACTAATATATATATGTATATCAATTCGTGGAATGATCAACTTTATTAATGCTGGCCGATAATTAAAGTCTTATAATATAATCTTGGTCATAAAATCAATAGTTTATTATTATTTCTTAAGTGATTTACTTGTAAAAATTTTAAACTTATACGCATTAGAAATAAACTTTTTTTTTATATATTTGAAAATACTGTATACAAAATTTTATAATAAATTTAAAAAATTTTTATAATAAAGCTTATAAATATGTTTTAAAATATGTTTTAAATATGTTTTAAATACATTTTAAATAAGATGTTGTATATACGTATAAAATATATTCTATATTATTAATATTTTTTAAAAAATTTCCTGTAATAAAATATTGTCTTTCACATGAGCATTATTTAGAACCATGGCCCAAATTAAACATAATTTGGGCCAAATTTTTAAACACCTCTCTCTGCTCGTTATTTCGCAAAGATATGATTTTTTTTTTTTTATTCTAGAAAGATTTTAAAGAAATATTTGCTTGAGTAGTTCTGAAATAATTTTTAGATAATATAAACAGTTATTTATTTTGTGAATAATCTTTATAAAAAAAAATTTTTTTATCAACTTTTTTTATCTATTATTGATTCAGAATCATAGACAGAAATCGAAGAATATGCAAGAGCAAATATTGTAATGGCTGATTTATTATTAAATAATAGTATTAAAAAAAGTTTTTTTGACGGATAAGGTATCAAATTTAGAAAAGGATTGTGCTGTCTAAAGACAGTAATAGAGCTTCAAAACGACCATGAATTGTTGATTTTTAATGCAGTTATGTTAATATAAAATAAATTTTCATATACTGAAGATTAAAGTTTTATATACCTATATATTGATATAAGGTAACCTATTAGACTTATCTCTTGAGGCGCTACAAACAGAAAATAATCTACGAAATGTTCTGATTAGTTGATTTTTGTCAAATCGGTTCTAGCAGTTATAAAAAACGTAATTGGTTTATTAATTTATATTGCTTTTTTTTCAAAGTAATTTATTAAGAATTTTTATATCAGTTCTGGTCTTAAATTTTATTTAATTAAATTCGATTAATAAAATTTATGACCATCTAACTAGTTCGGGTTTCGAAAGCGAACTAAGTTAGTGATACAAATCGAAAATCGATTGGCAACTTATATTAAAATCGAATAAAAATCTAACAAAAATTGATTGACAACTTATGTTAAAATCGAACAAAAAAATCGATTAATCGTTTAGTTGACAACTAATCGACTGCAAAATTCTTGACGATAACTAAGTTCAGAAAAGCAAGACGATACCTCTAATATTACCATCGCACATTAACTTCATTAACTTCATTTCACGTTAATTAAATAGACAGGATATTTGAAAATAATTCAAAATCAAGTTTATCTATTTTAATTAGCTATGAGTATCACCAATTCGTTATTAATTTCGGGCTAATTTAGCATAGGTAAAAAAATGAAAATTTATAAACTGAAATACAGTATTTGAACTAAATAAATAAATAATTCAAAAGTGTGAAATTATTAATTCATCAGCACCATCCAAATTATTTCACGTAATTCCCGATTTCTAATTATTAAAATAAGATAGTAAATATCATGTTCCAGTTCTTATTAAATTTTGTGTTCACAAAAATCTTTTACAGCTTTTGTAGCATCCCTAATAGAATTAAAAGCTTCAGCGGCTGTGGTAGCTCCGTTCAATAATTTGTCTGTCATTTCATCAGTAGGTTCTATCAAAATAATAATAATTTTTTATTATATAATATATATATATATATACAGTATCATTATAGTAATTTTTTAAAAAATAAAGTTACCAGTTGTTGTTTCATTGATAAATCGAGGAATGTTCTTGATGACCCATTCAATAAAGCACCCAATACATGCATGCTTCAAGACTTGTTCAAACACTTCTTTGTCATTGGAGCATAAGGAACATGTAGCGTTGGGCATTTTAAGATTTTATCGTGCAGATAATAAGAATTAAACAAATAGCGAAATGATAAAATATGGTTAATACAGATTATGATTTTATAGCAAAAAATTTATATATACACCAATATATTTTCTATATAAATTACATAATCAAATATAATACCTCTTGTCTTCCGCGCCGTTTCCCCGGTTTTTTTTTTTATTAAATCCTTACTAGCATTGACAAGCATTGTGTTAACTTAATATCGCAAAGCATAATTTGATTTATTTAATACTTCACTATGATCAGTTTATAAAATAAATCAATTATTTTATGGTATTTTTAAATGATAAAATAATTGAACTATTTCATAAATCTGAGATAGTAAAGCATAAAATAAAACCGTTATTGCATACTTCGTATGCAATAACTATATATTATTCCATTTATGGACTTAGAGGCATATTATGTGCAAAAAAAAGAAAAAAAGCGTCACTAAATACAATTCAAACTATCTTTCTCAATTCAATACTGCAATATGAATTGTACAATATAGTAAATAACTGATAACACTAAAAAATTCTACATATAGAATTGTTTAAATAAAAATAACCTTCGGTTTATATCATTGTTTAGAGCCACAATACTTATTAATATGTTCAAAATACATATGAAGTAACAATTGTACGAAGACTAAAAAATTCCATAGATATAGCTAGGTTAATACGTAGTATTGTGTATCTGGGCCTACCATATGAAAAGCGCATTCATTTTAGCTGTCAATGTAATACCTAAAAATTATGCAATACGATAACGATAATTTGATCGATTATAGTCGTGCGATTCGAAATGAACAAAACACGCGTTTTTTCTATGATATTAATTTTCCGGCGAGACATAAATAAATTTCTAAAATATAAGCAATGATCGTTTTAACCTCCGAGTAATACGTGTAATACGTCACTTTTGTTATAATGTAACAACATATAACTACACCATTTTTTTAAAAAAATTGATCCTTTATACTGTACTTTAATATGAAAATTCCTCAACATCTAGATATCTTAGATAATTTCTTTATTTTTGAAGGATGATAATTATATCCGCTAATCCAACAGTCCAGGCTAGGCTATAATTATCACAAATAAGAATTAAATAGTTGGTCTCAGCTAAATCGTATAATTTATCTCATCTTATCACGAAATCTAACAAGCACTTAAGAGCCGGTTGGGCAAGAATATTTTCTGTAATTTGAATAGTAACTTTACAACGTGGATCAACAACAATTTTAGAACTTCATGTAGTTTGATTAACACTGTGGTTTGAAATTTTACTCTAACTGATTTTAACTTTCTGTGTTTAACAATTATTTGGCATAATCACTTTATTGCGGTTTTGAAATTTGCAGATCAAAAAAAAAAAAGTAATCGATGATTTCTGATTCTGATTGCCGATTTTTTTAACATTTTTTTG